CAAGCTAAACACACGTGCAGTAGTTTGGGGGGGAGGGGGAGGCAAAATGTATAATGAAGGATGTATTATCTAGTTAACTGTGCACAAACTCTAAATTAAAAAGTGCCTAAGCCACTTTCAAATCACCATCCAACCATTCAACATAAACTTCTACAATTTATAATGCGCATATGCATAGTATATACCTCCATACACAATTCTGAGAGAGTATTTCATTGCAACATGTTATAGTTGGGGTGCATTTGAAGACTGAATTTTCAATTTTTGCATGATATTTTAATACAGGACATCTGTTGTTCAAACTCAGGGAACAGTGTTCTCCACAAGGGGTTTTAGGTGGGCCGCCTAGTAACTCAACACCCGCCCACCAACGTACATCCAGCTGAAATTATTTGTAAAAAGCTTGCATTGTTCTTCCCAAGCCTAAACAAAGGAGTGGTTGCCCAACCCTTTATTTTGCTATTGTTTCAAGAGTCCAAACATAAACAATGACCACTGGAAGTCTGCAAGCAGTTATCAAATGTATTCATGGCAATGTGTCAATCGCCTGAATTCATTGGCCTACCCCATTCAACGACCGTCGGCTACCCACCGTTGTTGGCGCTGTAACGATTTAGTATCTAAGTTGCATAGGGGAACAGCGCATTCTGGGTGTTCGTGTACTAAATTCGGAAAGCGGTAATAAACATCAAACATGGCTGCCGGATTAGTTTACCGCGAGTATTTGTAATTGAATAATATTTTAGTTATCTTTTCCATGTTTTTTTTCAATTTATCCATTTTTTATGTCTAATCTTTCGAGAACATAGCAGATTCTTTTCTTTTGCCGATTGCTAGCATTTTTTCTTGAATTCCAAAACAACGTGTGAAAACGCAACGCAACGTATCGTGACCGTACTAGTAAATGCGTAAATGCATCTTACCGTCCGTCGGCACAGGTGAGTACTGATGCAACAAATAAAAAATGTTATGAGTTTTATTTTGACAAATCGTCCGTTTTGGGACAAATCATCTCGTATATTTTCTACATTATAACTCTTGTACTTGCTCTTGGTTACTCGAATTGCATTTCATGAACGTAGAATAATTTGCGAACGTGTAAATCACCGATTTCAAACTTTTTGCATTTCGTAAATAATAATAGTGACCAATCTGTTTGTATTTCAAAAAATTGTAACATGTTTCAATTAAATTAAAAAGAGAATAGTAAATAACTTAGTGTGTATTGCAGTTCACGACATAAATGCTAGAATGCTGTATGTAAATGACATGCAAATTAATATGCAAATTTATGCTAATTAGGCCGCCCACCAGCTATTTTGGATTGTGGAGAACACTGGGGAAGATTTTATACTGATGAATAAGGTGA